GAGAGACTGTGGGCACCTGTCTTGCAAGAGTGAAGGGAGATAGAAAGGACTCGGACCCACTCCTATATGGTCTTCGAAAAGAACACGGGGAGAAAGTCTTCATCCAGCAGGTAGGCGTCCCTGGATCAATCAGCTTGCTGTGGATGGAAATGGAAATTCACAGAAGGAGGCATTTTGGGAACTGAAAAATGATCCGAGTGAGGCTGACTTTCCACTTCATGATGGCCACAAAGTGTTTCCATATTTGAAGAAATCAGAAAAAAAAAAAAAATCCAGCTTTAGCAGCTGTTCTGAGCAAGTCTCCAGGTCTGCTCTCCGTCCCTGCAGAAGATCATTTTGCTGAGATCCCCTGTGTTGTCAGGAAGATGTGAGGAGGAACTGGCTGGAAAGAGGACCCACAGCCATGGACAACCACACAGGACACTGTCCTAAAGGAGAGCCCAAGGTACCAGGACTGCCATGTCATCAAACACTGTTGGGAACAGGGGTTTTTAAAAATGAACCACCAGGGCATTTCCTGCAGGGCTAGGCTGTGTCGGAACCATCTTGCCTGTGATCTGTCCTTGCTGCAATGCTACACACGTCCTCATGTACTCCTGAATGGTGAGACAAAACATATTTTCCTTGACCAGTTAAAGCCCATGTCTTTAGCGCAAATAATAGACTACAAGAAAATGCTTTTGTGTGTAAAGAGCATCTCAAATGGTCTGCAGGTGACACTGGGGTTACTGACTCTATGACCTTTTGAATTAGCAGCTCCATTATGCCAATAGTTAACGTACCAGCAGAACAATAAAAATAGTGAGATTGATTTTTCTTTTTTGAGAAGTTTTTGCTATAGGGCATGTGCGCTCGCCAGAGAGACAGAGAGACAGAAAGCGAGAAATCACAACCCGGGGGGATGGCCACGCTGCAATCTCTTCTTCTCCATTCTTCTTTTGGGATCTTGGACATGCACGCACACGCCCAGCATGAATTTAAGCCACCAGGTCCAGTACTCGAACCGTGGTGGACTACATGGGTATCCAGTGGCATAGTTATTATGCTATCTGCTGGTCCCAGTAAGAAGGATTTTAAAAATTGTCTCAAACTGATTTCTTTCGCATGAAGTCTCAAGACAAGCAGTCTAAGTTCCTGCTTGGGTCTGTTTGTCCAGACAAAGTAAATTGAGTTTAAACTCACTAAGTACTGGTTGATGCGGAAGAAAATTTTTGAGCATGTTTTAAATTGTCCTTGAAAGAAACTGAGAATTGGGCAGCCATAGCAGGAGAATGTTGATACAGCCTGTATAAATATCAGATTGAAACATAATGATGTCACAAGAAGGTATTTATCTCAATACCCATTTGGGAGGGCCGCTGCCCCAGATACTGTCTTTTCAGCTACTCTCTGATCACCCTAAAGAAAGTGGATCTTTGTAAAGTCTGCCCCACCGTACTTTTATTAAACCTTGCTAAGTTCATGATAAGCTGTTACCATTTCAGCGTTTTGCAGAGTAATTTTGGTCTGCAGCCAAATTTGATTTCTCACACACCCCTTCCCTTCCACTTGAAATGCAATTGAAATGAAGGTCCTATGGTGAACGTTGCAATATTAAACTTACCTTTAGAATAGTTTTCTCCAGCTAGGAACCCTGCAGTGTTATCGCCTTAAATAAAAAGAAACTTAAGACTATTTGATGTAGCTCAGTTCTAGAGAGGCAAATCAACTATTTCCCTCCTAAGAAGTTTCAGGTTGAAGGAGTTAAGGTACCTCTTACATGAAGATTTTTCTGAAGCAACTAACTCCTATTGCTGTTTGTTGATGACTTCAATAAAGGTCATTTAAGAGTGTAAGGTTTTAAGGACTCCTGAAGTGAAACTTAAAATCACCATTTGGGGAATATCGATTGCATATATCAGTTTACATTGTGTGTGTGACTGTGCTGTATGCTATTTTAGTTTTGGGGAAATGGAAAAATAAAATCTGCTCTTTACCATAATAGATGTCTTATTTTATGTGTGTGTAAAAAAAAAAAAAAAAGAAAGGAAGAAAAAACATCAGGTACATGCACGCATGGCCAAGATCCCAAGGAGCTGGAGGGCTGAGGAAAAGAGATGGCAGAGTGTCAAGACACTGTCAGTCGACTTCTTCCCCTTTCTTGCTCTCTCTTGCTCACTCTCATGCTCTCTATCATGAATTTAAAGGGGGGGTGCACTTTGCAGATGTGACTAAATTAAAGATCTTGAGGAGAGATTTTGATTGTTTCGTTCGCTAGGAGGCACCTGTGCTTGCCAGGGAGAAAGAGAGAAAGAAAGAACCCCTATGAAGGGAAGATCACACTGCAATCCCTTCTCCTCCATTTCTCCTTTCATGATTTCCAGCATGCATGCATATGTACCCATGGTGTTTTTCAAGCCACCAAGTCCAAGACTCAAATGGCATAGTCAGTCATAGGATCCAGCCGCCTTTACCAACATTCCATCAGCTGGTCCATCACAGGGATCTTCACATGAGGGAGGCAGGGAGCTCAGAGCCGGAGAGAAAGGAGATGTAAAGGGAAAGCAGAGGTCAGAGAGAAATGCTATACCCCGGCTTTGAAGATGCAAGGGGCTATGAATGAGGAGTACAGGCAGACTTTGGAAAAGGCAAAGAAGAGCCACCCAACAGTCTATGGTTAAGGGAGCCAGCTCCCACGTAGCCAACTGCAGTTTGAATCCCAGTTCTGGTGGTTTGAAAAACATGCCAGATGCAAGTGCATGCCAGATGCATGTGTGCCCCAAATACCAACAGGATAGAAAAATGGAGAAGGGACTGCGACGTGACAAAGCCCCATTAAGGAGTGCTTTCTGCCCCCCTCTCTGTGTCACTGTTTCTGTCTGGTGAGTGCACGCCTCGCTGGCAATTTAAAAAAAAGAAAAAAACAGAAAGAAAAAGAAAACGATCCTGCCCAATAGCCTCCAGAAGAAAGGCAAGCCTGCTGATGTCTTATACTTAGGCCAGTGAAACCCACCCAGAACAGTAAGATAATAAACGCATGTGGTTTTAAGTCACTACATGTAAGATAATTTGTTACAACAGCAATAGAAAATTAATACAGTGAAAATAGAAATGGAAATAAAAAATCAATACATGACAGAGCTTAACATTTTCTGAACAAAAGTGACTTCTGGCAGCTCCAAGGGAGCCTGCAACATCCTGACACTGATTTTTTTTTTTTCCTTTTTTTCTATTTCTTGAAGGCAGATGAGATTCATTGACTTCAAGTTTGATTTTTAAATAACAAGTATCAAAGTCCCTGGTCCCATTCCAGGAGATAAGCCAAATTTGCAACCAAGCAGGAGAACCTACAAGTCCACAAGTCTCCTGTTAAAACTAGTTTGCGTAGGACCAGCAATTGGCAGAATGGTTACATCGCTGGATCCCACGTAGTCAATCGCAGTTTGAGTCCCAGACCCGGCGGCTTAAACCTCACACCAGGTGCATGTGTCTGCATGCCCAAGATCCCAAGAGGAGAATGGAGGAGAAGGGACTGTGGTATGGCCATCCTCCCTGGGGATTATTTCTCATTGTCTCTCTGTCTCTCTCTTTTTCTCTGGCAACCACATGGTGCCCTACAGCAAAAATTCTTTCAAAAAAATTGTGTTTAAAAGCATGGGTTTTTTGGTTTTGTTTTGGAGAGGTTTTTGCTATAGGGCACGTGCACTCGCCAGAAAGACAGAGAGAGACAGAGAGACAGAAAGCAAGAAATCACCTCCCAGAGGGGATGGCCATGCCGCAATCCCTTCTCCTCCATTCTCCTCTCGGGATCTTGGGCACTCACACACATGTGCCCGGCGTGAGTTTAAGCTACTGGGTCCGGGACTTGAACTGTAGACGACTACATGGGAGTTCAGCAACATAGCCATTACGCTAACTGCTGATCCCAAAAGCGTGTTTTTTTGGTCCTGAGATATATATATACATTTATTCTGGAATTTGGAGGAAAGCTTATCTATCAGTGTCCCAAAAAAGACAGATAGTGTGGGCCTGTTATTTCTGCCTTACACGAGATAATAAGAGGCCTGTTATACCCACCTAGAAATCTCCTAGGCATTTTTAAAGCACTACTGTACTTTCTAGATGGCAGGCATTGTCTTTTACTGTCCATTCTTGTCCTGTTCACCCTCTTTCCCCGTCCACCTCAATAAGTTACCCTGCACCAATTCTGAAGCCTTGGGAGTCTCCCATCAGGAAGAGGATAGAAGTTTGGGGTGATGTGCCAGACGGCATGTGTCGTGTGCCAACCCCACTCTTCCCATCTGTACCCTCTTCTTACCACGATAGAAGGGAGCCTACAAACTGCATGTTCTAGACCCTCTTTGCAGTTGGCTTCCATCAGACGCTACCAAGGGAGGCACTGGCAGAACTGGGAAGGTGGGCGGAGGAAAGCAGCCTGTGTCTGTGTAGATTTCATTGTGCTCTTCACAGCGGCAACTGCAACACCAGAGTAGGAGCCATGGCAACGGTGGCCCCGTCAGCAGTGGGGACAGTGGTAGCTGCCTGAGGGCAAGGGCAGCCTTCTGGGTGTGTGCCAACTCCGCTCGTTTGGTTCTGGCAACACCAAATTAAGCACTCTGAATAACAGCTTTTTCTCTTTGCTCTTTCGGACCTAAAGGTAGAAGCAGCTTCCTGCAGCTAGTGACCTTCGAGAAATCTCATCTTCCCCCTCTGGCTTTCCTAACTCATCCGACTCCTTCACAACCAACTGCCTGGGTAGTTTCTGTTTCCCTGATTAGACGCAGACTGAGGAGAACGAACCTTTCATTTAACATTCACAAGGGACAAAGGGCCAGGGAAGCCCTTTTCCTACTCCAGTATTCTGTTTCCTTGCAACTGCTATCTTCATCGGGATCAAAAGAATCCAAATGAAGTCTGCCCCAGAAAGAGGAGGTGGCTTGGGCTTGGCAGCGTCATGGCAAACCAGGTTGGAAGCAAATGCTCTTTCTTAGAGACTCCTGTGTCAGGTTATTTTCTCAGACATGCTCCCTGAGGTGATGATTCACGATTTAGTGAAGTACTGTGGGAATGCTGCTAAGAGATGCCTACAAAAGAGCGGGAAAGATAAGCAGGGCAGGATGGAGCCCATCAGGGCTGAGATACGCAAGGTCCCACACAGGCTCCAGCCTGACCCGCAGGGAACTCCGAAGTACAAGCTTTGCTGCAGAAATCTTTGATGATTGCACCAGTTAGTCATTATCTAAGAGCTGCTTGAAGGACATCTAAGTCCCCGGGAACCTGAGAAAGATCGCTGAAGAAGAATCCCAGGTGTGGATCTTTAGAAATGAATACACTAAAGCTAGAAAGAGGCACACAGAGTAGGAGAAAGGAACCTGAGGTAGATCTGGGCAGGGCACTGACGAGGCTGCTAATGTCTCTGTTCTCCAGGTAAGGCAGTAAGGTCACATTGATTCAAGCTCACTTTTTTATCCCTCCCTTCATTCAGGATGAACCCCTACTGTCAGTCACAGAGCCCAGAAGGAAGAACAGCAAGTCGGAGGGATGGTGCCTGGCCCCTCAGATCTGGTGGCAAGGCAAGAAATGCAAGACCGCTGACCAGATTCATAACTCCCAGCCTCAAGCTGTGGAGGGAGTGAGGGAGGGATCCAGAACACCTCAGGAATACATAGCTGAAGCACTTTACTCAGAATATGACAAGCGAAGGTTAGATTTTATCTTTGTATTTGTAGAAGAGGAAAGCTGCTAAGAAAAAAAGCGTTATTAACTGGGTTTTGGTGGTTTTTTTAAAGATTATTTATTTTATTTTTGTATTTTTAAAATTTTGCAGAGGGACCAGCAGGTGGTATGATGGTTTAGGTGCTGGACACTCCCACATGGCTGACGACAGTTCAAATTCCAGACCTGATGGCTCGCTCACTCGCTCGCTCTCTCTCTCTCTCTCATCACCTTAAAATAAATGAATCCAATTAAGAAGTTTCTGCATAGCAAAAGACATAGTAATTAGTATGAATCACCAGCCCTCAGAATGGGAAAATATTTTTGTAAACTATGCCTCAGATAAGGGGCTGATAACCAAAATACACAAGGAACTCAAGTAACTTACCCCCCAACAAACAATGATCAACTCAATTAAAAGATGGGAAAATGAGCTGAACAAACAAATCTCTAAGGAAGACATAGAAGAAGTCAAAACACATATGAAAAAATGCTCAACATCCCTCATCAAAAGGGAGATGCAAATCAAAACCATGATGAGATACCACCTAACCCAGTCAGAATGGTTAAGATTAAAAAATAAAAAAATAAAAAAAAAGATACGTTCTAGCAAGGCTGTGGTGAAAAGGGAAGTCTCCTACACTGTTGGGGGGCATGTAAATTAGCACAGCCACCAGGAAGATCAATATGGAGGTTCCTCAAAGATCTACAAATAGAACTACCATATGATCTAGCAGTTCCACTCCTGGGTATCTACCCAAAGGATAGGAAAATGATCTGTCAGAAGAGTGCTTGCACATCTATGTTTATTGTGGCATTATTCACAATTGCTAAGACATGGAACCAATCCAAGTGTCTACAAACAGATGACTGAATTGAAAACTGTAGCACATACACACTATGGGATACTACTCAGCCATAAAGAACAAGACCCTGGCATTTGATAGAAAGTGGATGAAAATGGAAGATTTACTGCTGAGGGGAGCAAGTCCGTCTATGAAAGAGAGACACTGTATGTATCCACTTAATATGCACTGACTGTCCACACTCTATGGCAGAAACTGAAAGATGAGAGGATATAGAAACATGGAAAACGCTTTTGGCTATGAATACTGGAGACAGTGTGGGAAGACGATGGGAGATGGAGAAGAGGGAGAGGAGAGGAATCAGGATAATAATAGAGAGGCAAGACATTTAAGGCAAGACACAGAAGTGGAGGATTGTTCATGATAACATGTATGATATCTTCAACTGCACTAGTGTGAAGTGAATTCATGGTGGGTAATTCATTTTATAAGCTGTAGTGATGTACAATGATCGAATGTTTAAAATAATAAAAAAGAAGAGCGAGAAAGATGAGTGATTCCACTTGATTTTCAATCTCATCTATTGGGGCTAGTGTGCAAGCTCAATTCAAAACAATAGCCTTCCATAATTTTTATTAAATAATTCCCCCCTTTTGGCCAGGTGCTTGCCTAGGCGAATGACCAAAACTTAGACTACCAGGGCTATTTTCAATGATCATAATTTCAGATTTCTGGTCACAAAACATCATTCATAGGTTATGATGTCCTCACAATCACACATTTCCTTGAATTTTGTGGTTCTAGCCAGAGCTCATTTGACATTCTATGGATAGCTGCATATAAATATTTAACACTTTTAAAAAAGATAGAGCAAAAAAAAAATACTACTATTATGACTATCAGGAGGATAATATCAAGTGTTCAGGATCTGCACTTTGGTCAGGGTCCTATGAACCAAACTAAAACCAGATAGGTCAAAGAATGAGCTAGACAAGGAGTTTATCTTTTTTCACAAGTAGCCTACTCCTAAATTTTTACAACTGAGTCTCTATAATACTCAATCTATTTATCCCTATATAAAAATAAGTATTAGCATCTGCACATATTCCTCTCTGTTCAGTTAATAGGTAGCAACTCTATCAGGACTTAGGTTAAATTAAAGCAAGGAGTGATCATTTGCATACCCTGCAAAAGCTACTGATTGTGAAATTCTAACTACGGCATTATCCTGCCAAGGATAATGAAAGAGGTAAACATAAGAAAATATTAGGTTGTTGGGAAAATCATGAGGTATTTTTCTATGTTTTTCTATGCAAATATGCATCATGACTTGCCCAATTACCCAATATTAAAGAGCGGTAAAAATCTTAAGCTCGAGAATCTTGTTCCAACGTCTTGAGAAAAGCTGTCCACAGCATGTAGTTGGAAATGTCTCACCTGGTCTGTAGTTTGAATGTCTCTGGCTGTGTGTGACATTGGGCATTCTGGTGAATTCTCTGAGTGGCCATAGCAGACAAGAGATTTGTCCCTTGACATGTACATTGAGTTGTCTAGCTTCTATACAGGCATCAGGAATTGAGCAGTTTTTGTTCTTGGTTAGAACTATAGCCAGTTATTAGAGAAAATTCAAATTCAAAACCCAATCCGGTCTGTAGGAAAATCATAAAAACTCAAAAACAATAAACAGTGCTACAATTTAAGATTAGTCAGATAAGCTGCAATGCTGACTGAACATACAGGCTCTTTTAAATTGGCTTTACTGGAATGTTTCCATAAGGAATTTCTGATTAGACTTTAGGTTTTTGCCATAGGGCATGTGCGCTTACTGGAAAGAGACTGATAGTGAGAGGGAAAGTGAAAAATCACCACCACCAGCTCCCCCAGGAGGCAATGGCCAAGGCACAGTACCTTCTCCTCCATTCTCCTGGGATTTGGGGCATGCATGCACACACATACACTCAGCATGACTCTTAAGCCACCAGGTCCAGGACTCAACCCCTGGTCAGCCATGTGAGAGTCCTGCACCTTAACCACCATGCCATCTGCTAGCCTGATCAGATTTTTTTT